AAAAAAAAAAAAAAAAAACCATATCAGATTATCATTAATGTTGATAGTAGAATCATATACGATCAATTAGACAATTTCTAGTAAATAAATAAAAAATTAAAAATTTAATAATAATAATACGAGACAAATATCATTTGTTACTAAACACGAATGCCTGCATATATGTTTACATAAATAGTAATGTTTACATATATATATGTAAACATTATCTTATTTATGGTTAACAAATTAAAGAGATAATGATTGTCAACATATTTGTCAATGCGTTGTTCCGTTAATTTCTTTTAATTCTACTTTTTCACATCATTAACAGCATTAATTTAATGTTAATTAGATTAGTTAAGATTAAAATCAGGTTAGTATTAATTGTGATTTGATTGATCATAATCTAATTAAAACCAGATTAGTCATAATTATGAAATAAGAAGCTTTTTACTCTATTACTGCTATTTAGTATATATGGTAAAGGTTTAGAGATTGAAAGTAACAACTTTACATGAACAATGACATTCCTGCTTTTTTTTAATTTTTTTAAAAAAAAGTGCTATCAATAAAATATTAAATGAAATGGTCAGAAAAAGAAGGACGAAAAAATGTGTGAATTGCAATAACTTTCAAGGACAAATAAGTTCAATTTGATATTTTAATTCAATAAATTTTGATATTTTAACGTGTACTATGAAACTTTAATAATATTTTTTACTTAAAATAACTTATCATTGCATAATTTTGTGCAGCAATAAACTATCAGATATAATTAAATTGATGAAGAAAATGAAAAATTTTGACGTTTTTTTTTTGTGAACAAATGATTCAGATGATGATTGAAAAGTACCATTTTAATAAAAATCAAACATCAAGTCTAAAAAGATATCTAATTATTTGACAATCTAATTAGTTCAATTGAACAAACAAATTGAATACCTTTAATGAATGTAGGTGAATTTGCAATCAATTTTAAAAATTTCAAAAATAAAAAATCAAAAATTCTAACTCTACTCACGATTTAAATAACTTTTCTTCCTCTGTTTTCCCAAGAATAAATGTGTAATTTTTGAGAGCAATTTTTAACAAGTATTGCAAATTAACACTCGATATCAAAATACCTTAGAAAATAACGCACGCTTAAAAAAAAAAAAAAAAAAAGAAAAATGATTAACATGACAATATGAAACATGAAATTGTCATCGTTGCACATCTCATCTGGCAAATTTTATTGTCATTTTTGCATCATCCATTGTGGTCATTCGTCCACTCTTATTCTTACCTGTTGTAATAATCTGCCAGAAAAAAGAAAAAAAAAGGTAACGCGGAAAAAAGAAAGAATAGATTCCTGCTGATGTCGCCATACTTCAATAGCAAATGACAATCATTTTAACCTTTAAATGTATGATCAATCCAATGGCTCCAAAAAATCGATTCAAAACGATTCTCTCCCTCGTCATTCATTAATTAATGAATTTGCAGAGTAATTCACAATACTATCCTTTCTTTTTTTTGTTATAACAAATTTAGTTGACAAC